CTAAGGTAGCAATGGTCCAACCAGATCCTACAGTTGAAGATCCTATTGATGAAGAACCATCTATCCCTCATTGTAGAGCCAGAGAAGAGCAGACTATAAACCTACTACAGGTCCATGGTTCACTTTTGATGACCTTCCTCCGGAAAAATGGAGAGACAGACTCCATGAGTTTGGAGCATGGATTGACTTACAGCTTGTTAGGCATGATGCAACTCTTGAGGAAGTTCTCATAGAATTTCTCTCAAGACTAACAGGAACATTAAGAGAATGGTATCAAAGTCTTAGTGATTACCAAAAGATAGCAGCAGCCAGAGTTGATAATGCAGGAACTCTTCTGGGACTCATTCACAAGGAATTCATTGGTGATTTCCAAATCATTGACAAAAGGTATCGCTAAGAATACTTTGAGATGAAATGCTGTTCTTTGGACAAAAGAGACTTGCAGAAACATTTCCAGAGAATGTCTAAAAAATATTACATGCTTAGAGGAGTCAATGATGTCAATCTCAGGCATACTTTTATTGCCTCTCTTCCAGACGAACTGCAACCAGAACTTTATAGAGCTATCAATGCACTCCATAGAAATATGTCTGACATTTCTATCGGAGAAATATATCAGTTGGCATTAGTAACTGTGGATAAGCTCTGTGAACAACAAAAGTTCTTCAAAGGACAGTCAAAGCTCGGGCATGCTTGCAAGAAACCACATCTGAAGATAAAGTGCAAAGATGATAAAGATTGCTCTTGTTCTACCAAGAGAAAATCTCATTATCATCGATTCAAATATCCAAAGGGTTCTTACTCCAAGAGAAGATCCAGAAAGCCTTTTCTGAGATATTTCAAAAGGCGTAGACCTTATTCAAAGAAATCTGATAGGTGCTACATATGGAAGAAAAAAGGACATTTTGCAAAAAAATTGTCCTAACAAGAAAAAAAAAGGATGTGAAGATACTGGAACACTTGCAGACTGTTCTAATGATCAATGAAGATGAAGATATTGAATTTGTCATTGAAGAACAAGACGCTCAGGATGAAGAAACACAATATGTTCTTCCTTTCTCTGAAGAAGAGGAAATTGATTCTGAATCCTTATCCCAAGAAGATGATGATTCTCAAGGGTATTTATATTTCCTTGAACAACCTGTGCATCCGTCTTTCCTTGGTTCCCTGGCTTCTCAGCCAGATCACAACAAAGTCACTCCCAAGCCAAATGTCAAAATTCATATCCTTCCGGGAAGGAATGAAAAGCCAATCCCTGTTATTACTTTTATTGACTCTGGAGCATGCAGAACCATCATGAATCCTAATATTCTTCCTTCTGAAGCATGGATCCCTTGTGATCCATTTTTCTTACTACTGATTCAAAACCATTCAAGATTGAATGGATTACTTGTAGGAAGATTGGTATTCAATTCTTTCCAGGATGTGTTCTATGGATGAAAGTTCTTGGTAGTGATCTCCCGGGGAAAGATATTCTTATTAGATTCGATGCTTATTATCATACTAAGAATCTTCAAGTACTGCCTAAAGGAATTAGATATAAAAATTTCTTTAGTGCATATACTTAAATTCCTAATCTCTTTGAAATCCAACAAGCACCACCAGGATATGAAGATATTCGCGATCATCTTCTCAAGTTTTGCGCTGATAGTCATCAACAGTTTTCTCATCCATTTCCATTATGGAAAAATCAAGAGTTTTTTATAAACTCCCCTTCAAGAAAAATGAAGATATCAGTCCTACAAAAGCCTCTCATCCAGGAATGAATCCAGAAGATCTCAAGCTCGCTAAAGAAGAATGTGCTGCCCTACTCAAGCAAGGCCTTATTGAACCAACAAAATCTAATTGGGCTTGCCAGGCATTCTATGTTGAAAAAAGGTCAGAAATCAAAAGAGGGAAGAAAAGGTTAGTCATTGACTATAAGCCCCTTAATATTTTCCTTCAAGATGACAAATTCCCTTTACCAAAGCCCAGTTCACTTACAGTCCATCTTAAAAACGCAAAAATCTTTTTCAAGTTTGACCTCAAAGCAGGATTTTGGCAATTGGGTATCCACCCAGAAGATCGACCCAAAACTGCTTTCTGTATTCCAAATGCCCAGTACCAATGGACTATCATGCCATTGGGGCTTAAAGTCGCCCCATCACTGTTCCAAAAGGCCATTACCAGAATCTTTGAACCTATGCTTGATAACCTCCTCATTTACATTGATGACCTTTTACTTTTCTCAAAAGATAAGGATTCCCATAAACTTTTATTGACCCAGTTTGGGAAAATAATTGAAAAATATGGGATTATGTTGTCAACAAAGAAAGGAGAAATAGGTGTCAAAAGCATAGAGTTTCTTGGAATGCATTTTGAAAATGGTCAGTATTATCCTGGACCACACATTGCAGAAGAATTGCTCAAATTCCCAGACGATAATCTGACAACAAAGCAAATCCAACAATTTCTGGGGATTATTAATTATCTTCGGGATTTTATCCCTCATGTGTCAAATCATACCAGCCAGCTGTCCAAACTTCTCAAAAAGAATCCTCCCGCATAGGGGACAGAGCAGACCTTAGCTGTCAAGACCCTCAAAAGAATTGCACAGCAACCACTTCCTTTAAAGATTCCTGACAGAGGGATACGAATCCTCCAGACTCTGATGGAAGGACTGGTTCTCGCACTACAAATTCACCGTCCATCATCTCAAAGGTCACCAGAACATCATAGCAGATTTCCTCATAAGACCTCAGAAAGTTTCCCAGCCTTCGAAACTCCTGTCACTCTCCAGACATCAACCTCTTTTCATCCTAACCATCTCTGAACCAGAAATGCCTCACAGAATGAGAGCCACCATTTTCCCTCCTAGATCCCGTCCTGAATCTCCAGCAGATGTCCAAAACCTTGCCAGAAGCACTATGTTCTACTGGCTTCACCGTGTTTTTGTAGACACTGGAATTCACCCTTATCCTCAGCACTTTGATGCCGATGCCCCTTACCTCATTGTTCCCATCATCAAAGGACCCATACCAGAGGAACTCTTATGGTACATCTGGTCTGTCTCAGCCAATTATACTTGTGTCATAGCCTTCTCAGCTGTAGTCGTCCATGATCACCTGAATGACTTCAGAAATGAAAATTCTCCTCTTACCACACTCTTTGAGATGCTTGCTCCTCTTCCCTACTGGAGAGGAAAACTTTGGAAAATTCTCAAATAACATAATATCTGGGACTTACCAACTCCCAAACAAAAAAGATTTTCTGTCTGTATACCTTTTTCAAGAACTATGGTATAAGTGTTGACCAGAGGCTCTACACAGACAACCGTCTGATCCTTCAAGTCACCACCCCCTCATAGCCAAGAAAGGAAGCATTATTAATGGAAAAAATTGGGAAGACATTAACTGCACTTAATCAGCCTGACACGGGAGAAGACACTTCATGTCTATCTCTTGGACCTTTCCCGCCAAGCTCACCGTCAGCCAGCAACACAACACTTGAAGAATTCCAGAGAGATTTCATCATGAGTGCTGTCAAACCTCCACCAAACAGGTCACAAGTCCCTTTATAGATAGAAGCCTTTGAAGACCCTTATGACAAAGACTCACAAATTCAACTCACTCAGCCTGAAAGACTCTATCTCCCTCAGCTAAGTTTCCAGTCACAACTCCCATTCCTTGCAGGAGAATCCCAGGATCCTAACCAAGATGACCCTAATCCAAAGCTCGAAGACTAATACTGCATAAGGAGACACTATGACTCAGATGACCTTGACCCAGAAGGCATCATGAACCTATCCCTTAGCCATGAGCCTATCTATAAAGACTAGGGAACATCATCATCAGAAAATCTCCTTTTGGGATACTCTGAAGATAAAGCAGGACCTGTCAGATTCCTACTTTATGTCACCATCTACTTTTACTTTATCAAAGTATTTTGTCCTGTAGTCTATTTTGTCCTCTTGTAATAAATGGAGTGGTTGTCATTATTAGGTATCATTATGAGAGTGGTTAGTAGTTGTGAGTAGTCGTGATTATTAAATGTCAGGTCATAATGACGTCTACTATTACATCTATCCGTCATAATAATATGTACTATTAGAACTTTGTCATGTAGTGGCCCCGTGCCTCTATATAAACCCTACTTTGCCATCAGTTATGGGCAGAAGGAGTTGTATCGATTTTCTTGTATAATACTAGTGTGCTTTCCTCATGAGCTCTCTCTAAATTTCTCTTTTTCTGAAAGCCTCATTTATAATATTTTTCTTCTGTCACTAGAGATTCTGAGTATGCTCTGCACTTGCCTCTTTAAGAGGATCCTGTGCATCAGAAAATAGAATCTGACCACGATCCATGAAGGAGTGTTTAGTGACAATCTTTCCAGTTATCATAGATCTGGTATTTAAAGCTGAGAGTCCTAACGTGGCCCGTCGATGAGTTGAAAATGAGTGGCCTTACCTGGACTAAAGCCTTGGATATCAGACTGTGTTAGCTTGGTCTGGTTCAGCTAACACTCTTGAGTGGTATCAGAAAGAAATTTATAAATTCATTAACGTTTTAAAATTTTATTTTAATAATTAGTATTGATATAACCCTTTTTTAAAGCTTTTAACTCTATGAACTTGTGATTTTCTTAAAGGGTGTTTGGCAAATTGTAAAAATACTTTTAATAGAATATTTTTTCATAAATCGAGATAAATTTATTTATATATTATAAAATTATTTTTAAATTAACCCATTACAATCTGATGATCCTTTTTTCTTTTCATTTTTGGCCTGACACAAGCTCTTGATCTTCGAATGTAGTTTTCTGCCTATTCTGGTTAGTTTTCAGATTGAGTAATTAACTTTTTCTGTTATATTTTGTTAATCGGTTAATCACTGGCAGATGAACGACCAATGTGAACAGCGGAAACATCCAAATAATTTGGACACAACCGCAATTAGCGCTCTTTCCATTCAACATGTTGCTTCTTGAATCTCACTCTCTAACGATCATAACTGGTACGAATAAAACCCTAATTCCATATATCTTTCTTTCTTCAGTTTTCCTCACTGAATTCAAGCTCAGTGTTCTTTCCATGTTTACGTGACGTGGCTTCGATCGGATCTCATTACATTTTCTTCCTTTTGACATTTTAATGCATTCTGGAAATTAAAATTTTCCTGTTTGCTCCACGGGAATTGTATGAAACTTGGAAATGACAAATGGGTAGAGATTTTTGGACGCGGATTTCAAAAAGAATGGGTTGTGGGATTCAGCTAAACGTTCTTAGGAACGAAATGGGCGGCCGCTTAATTGTGGGAGATTCTTGGAGTGAATTTTCTTGATTTTTTGTTGCAGGCGATCGTATTAATCTATTGGTTGTGGAATATCGATGTTAGGAGAATTTGCAACGGCCAATCATTCCCAGTGGATCAATTCAGACATATCCGGGAATTCGGGAATTTTCCGTTACTGCATGCCCTTGGGCTGCTTCTGAACTGTTAATTCATAGTTGTGTATCGGTTTTTGAGCATCACATTGAACTACTTGTTTAAGTACAGTCTTGATGGGTTCATGATGAACAAACTGAGCTTTTTTTCTTGATCATGTCAGTGAGAAGGTAACGCCATTTGGCGAATGAAATGCACGTTATCAAGTAACATAAATAGAAGCTTCCATATCATGACAGAATTTGAAATTTGGTGGTTTTAAATCTATTTGTCAAAACAGTTTCACGATTTGGACATGAGAAGACCCTGGCATAATAAATTGTCAATAAATTTTGGCGCCAGACCGCTGGGGAGCTGGTTAGTCTTGTGCCTAATGAGCCTGGTTGCACTAATTTTTGTCCTGAGTTCATCTTCTTCAAATTATATTGAACCAGCACATCACTTTCCTGTGTCTTCCATTTATTCAAACTATAGAAGGATAAAAGAGCAAGTAGCAGTTGATTATTTGGAGTTAAGTGCAGTGACATTGGGTGCCACCAGGGAAGAAATCGGCTTTTGTGGAAAGGAAAGAGAAAATTTTGTGCCTTGCTACAATGTTTCGGCAAACTTACTAGAGGGCTTCGGAGCAGGTGAGGAGTTTGATCGGCATTGTGAATTTTCAAGAGAGGCTGAGAGATGTCTGGTTCGAACTCCTAAGGACTATAAGATTCCCCTGAGATGGCCAGCTGGTAGGGATGTTATATGGAGTGGAAATGTGAAGATATCCAAAGACCAATTTCTTTCATCTGGAAGTTTGACCAAAAGGTATTTCTTTATATAGCTGCTAGGGTGGGGAAATGATCAAAACACATTCTTTAGGCATTTAAAAATGACTATCAATTAAAGTACCACAATTTTTACAATGTCTTTCTCCGTTGTGGTTTTACAGTGAGTATGCTTTCATTATGTAAAACTCTCGTAAAATATTATCTAGGTTGATGCTATTAGAGGAGAATCAAATTGCTTTTCATTCGGATGATGGCTTGATCTTTGGCGGTGTGAAAGACTACTCTCGTCAGCTGGCAGAGATGATAGGGCTAGGAAGTGACACTGAGTTTTCTCAAGCTGGTGTAAGTTTTCTGTCTGCAAATAGTTCTTTGGTGAACAATAGTGTCTGATGGGCACGGGATCTGTTCAAAACAGTTCTGTCTGTAGCAAAACAGGAATATTCGACTTTCTATATTCTATTTTCAATTGTCATCCAGGACCATGTAATTTTGTTGCATCATATATTGTGAATGATTTATATTGGTGGCATTATGACAGATCCGGACCATACTAGACATTGATTGTGGATTTGGTAGCTTTGGAGCTCATTTAGCCACATTGAATCTCATGGCAATTTGTATTGCTGCTTATGAGGCAACTGGCAGCCAGGTTCAATTGACCCTTGAGAGGGGTCTTCCTGCAGTGATTGGCAACTTTATTACAAGACAGCTTCCATATCCTTTGTTATCATTTGATATGATTCACTGTGCTCAGAGTGGTATCATGTGGGACCAAAAAGGTAATTACTGAGTTATTTCTTTGTATGGCCCATGCTGGATTCCTAGTTTTAGGCCCAATGTGGCTATTCAAAAGGGACCTGACCCCTTAGATCTCCCTTGCTATCATATTAGCTGTGTTTATGTTCCAGCTGGTATTGGTATTAGTTGCCCATGTCAGTGTCACTGTCTTTACTTAGGGTACAAGTATTTGCTCACTGGGTCCACTGTCAATGCACTGAGTTTGGGGTATTGGTGCCTGGTCTTTCTGGAATTTATTATGTCATGGTCTGGTGAATGCAATTAAGGGGTAAAGGATAAAAGTTGACAAGGGAGGTGGAATTATTACATAAAATAGATAAAGGCCAACAGGTACAGGAACCCCTTTAGTCAAGAAATTAGTAATCTCTTGGTCATTTTTTGACAACTTCCCCAGTAGCCTTTATACGTTATTATGATTTTGTATCTGCAGTAACCTGCCAGAAAGCGGAAATCGCTGACCCATGTACTGGGTCACTTTCTGGCTGACATTTTAAATCTTGACAGCTTTTGGCCTGTAGTCTCTTGGTGTTGTTTGTATTTTAGAAGTGAATTCATATCTTGGTTTTAGTATCAAACGTTGGAATGGAAACCTGAATTGTTGTCATGAAGAAGTGACACCTTCCCTTACTTTCTAATGTCTTTGGCAGTATCCATCTTGCCAATGCTTTATGAATACTTCACTTCAATTTAATAGTTCATTATTTATCTTCTGCAGGAAGTTCTGCGAACAGTTTTTCTTTCTGACAATGACTTTATTCTACAGATGGTCTACTCCTTATAGAGGTTGACCGTGTTCTTAAACCTGGAGGATACTTTGTTTTAACTTCACCCACAAGCAGGCCAATGGGAAGTTCATCACAGGTAAACCTGAAAAAGAGAATCATGTTGAACGCAATGGAAGGGCTGACCCAAAAAATCTGTTGGACTCTTCTAGCTCAGCAGGATGAGACTTTTATCTGGCAGAAGACTGCTGATACTAAATGCTATACATCACGGTAAGGGCAATTGAAACAATATGAATGTTTTCTTTGTTTAATTATAGTAATTAGATGTTTACGGAAGATTATTGATATTGAGCTAACTATTAGTTGTGCTCTTTCCTTGCTCCACTGAACAATTGTCCTTCGTGGAGTACTATAACTTGAGAGATTTTATTGATGTATGTGTTTTTCTTTTTCTGTTTTTTCCCCCTCTAATTTTGTAGCAAGCAGGACTCTATACCACTTTGTAAAGAAGGGGATGCTGCTCAGTCATATTATAAGCCTTTGGTGCCATGTATAAGCGGGACCTCTAGCAAGCGCTGGATACCAATACAGAACAGATCTGGATCTGGATCTGGATTGAGTGTGGCTGAGCTTAGACTTCATGGAAAGTGTCTTTTTTAAACAGATTCTGATTATCTTCTTCTTTCTTCACCTCTCAATTTTCATTCTCAATTTGCATGGTTTTTGCCTTTGCGCTTATTTCTTTATAGCATTGCAGGAGTTCAGCCTGCAGATTTCTATCAAGACATGCAATTTTGGAGATCAGCTATCAGCAACTTTTGGTCTTTGCTTACACCCTTAATTTTCTCCGACCATCCAAAAAGGCCAGGAGATGAAGATCCTCTGCCTCCATTTAACATGATACGCAATGTGATGGACATGAGTGCTAAATATGGGGGCTTGAATCATGCTCTCCTGGAGCGAAGAAAATCAGTGTGGGTAATGAACGTTGTTCCTGTCCAGGCTTCTAATACACTTCCTCTTATACTGGATAGAGGTTTTGCCGGCGTTCTTCATGACTGGTATGCTCTTGTTCTTTTGAGTCTGCTTTTGCTTTTCTTTTGAGAAGGGGGGGTGGTGGAGAACATCTTTATTAGCACACTGGTTTGTCAAACAATAGATCGGTGTTGCTTGATAGTTGGAGAAGAAGCAGTCCTGAGGCACCCAATTTGTTACCCTGAAAGTCTATGGGAAATCTAACTACGGAAAAAAAAAAAAAAATCCGCATTTTATGCGCTTTTCAATATCTTTGGCGTTCATCTAAAATAAACTCTCGTGAGCTCAAGGAAAATTCTGTTTTATGTAACCCATTTATTGATGTGCAGGTGCGAGCCTTTCCCAACCTACCCCCGGACATATGATATGCTTCATGCAAATGGACTTCTCTCTCATCTAGCTTCAGAGAGTTGCAGTATGAAAGACTTATTTGTGGAGATGGATAGAATACTGCGTCCAGAGGTAATCACGTCCCTTTATCCATTATCATGACTGCAGAAAATTTTATGTTGTGGTAAGTTGAATCGAATTTTATCAGCAATTTTCTTAAGCAAAACATTAATTTTGTCCCCTTCCAATCCCAACTCTTCCTTTTTTATCATTTCCAGGTGGTCACATCTAAGACTAAGACTGTTTTCTTTCATTTATTTGACCTTATCCTTAACGATGCATGACCGTTTATTGTTATGCACCCTGCAAATACTTTTTGTTTAGAAATTAGAATGCTGTGGTAGCGCAGGTGTCAGACCCTAAGTATACTGGAATAGTCCAACATATCCTGACATTGAACTTCTGGTTTCATTGCTTGATAGGGTTGGATCATTCTTTCTGATAACAAGGGAGCTATAGAGATGGCCCGCACGGTTGCAACGCAGGTGCGCTGGGAAGGAAGGGTGATTGACCTTCAGGATGGCAGTGAATTGCAGTTGCTTGTTTGCCAGAAACCATTTGTGAAAAAATGATTGATTGAGCGCCAGTACGTTTCACCATGGCAGAAGAACCCAATATCTTTTTTGCTCTGGTAAAATATTCTATGCTTGTCAGTTTGATAGTAGCATATTGTCTGGTGCAACATTAAGGGTTAAACACTTACGCGGACTGTTCTGTTATTAACATAACTAAGTGCGAATAATGGAACTTCTTCAGTGATATGAGGTTGGAATTAAGCATATGGTTTCAATTTGAAACATCAGCTTAATCTCCATAATAGCCTTTAATGACTGTCAAGGCATGTGTGAAAAATAATGAATTAATTTGTAATTTTAGCGTTCACTTAGATTATCAATATATGTAATCTAAAATTTATAGAAAGCTATATTGTTCATCACTTGGGAATAATTATACAGTTCAAATTAGATTCCGTACAACACATGAAAAACATTCCTAACTTATCTTAAAATTAAGACAAAATATTACAAGGTGATTAAGCGGTAATTGGAGAAACTGAGAAATATGATTAGCTTAAACTTAAAGCCATAGAGGGCTTACTAGGTTTTGGTCTGATTGTTGTGTTTAAAAAAACAATTTTCTCTAAAATTAAATTGAAAGGATGCATTAAGAGGAGAAGAACTTTGATTTGGACCAGTGAGACTTAGGATCTGGATTGATCTTAGTCCGATTGCTCTCTGAACTGTTCTCGCCTATCGGGTACCATATCAGAAATTGTAAACGAAGCACTCACTGCAAATTATGCATGAAGCACTGCAATACCCTTTTGTAATATTGTAGGTTTGGACAATGATGTCAGGTTGAAAATTGCCAATTCATGATAGCTGTAGGCTTGTAGCTATGAAATTATCTCATTTCGAGCATAACAAAAGGATGCATTGACTTACCTGCAGTTATTTGTTGCAGCACTGATGAAATTAGTTGTACAATTTCAGAGGATGGATTGTTTGGTCGGCACAGCAAATGTATATAGCACCCGGAGCCTTGATGTGTTCACCCTTGTCCACAACTGGATCAGGAATGAGGATGACAAGTTCTTTGCAAGCTAGCAACAGATTTTTTATTTTTTATTTTTTCAAAGCCTTTTGTTGTAATTCATTCATCCAATATGTTTTAGCGATTTCTTCTGTATGATTTATTCATTGGTCACCACTGGACTTGAGGCATCTTCCAAACAAGCACTAATTTTTTATGAAGAAATCTGATTGGTCTGAGAGTTCAGGAATGAAATTTTGATATTGCAACTCTGAAATATTCGTTCAACATATCTACGACTTGGCATGATCCTCCTCCCTTACTTTCGTGTGAATATTGAGTATCATCTAAGCACAAATCAAAACACCAGTGAACAAATAGCCTTGCAACACTGAAGAATGTCTCTTTTCTATCAAATAATGCTACTTTTTCTTGATCTTGGTTTAATCTTCTCATCAGTTATCTGAAAAATATTGGGGTGTACATTGAAGTCACCGCATAATTCGGGATAGCCTCAGGTTTTCGGACATTTTCAGTCATAATCGGTGATTTTGAAAGGATTTGAAGTCTAAAATATTAAATTTGAAATGAGAATCTGGAGGGAAGAATGGAGACAAGGCAGGAGATTGGGACTATCTTGGGTAGGGAAGACTCATTACTGGCGCATTTGAAAATGAGTAAAGCAAATAGCATGAGTAGGCTGCTTATTTAACGGAGAAAGGAGGATAGAAAATTAAATTATGGTAAAGGCTTGATGAGTGTCGAAAAAGAAGGGACCACTGCGAAGAATACCTAATATGCGGATAAGATTTGAGAAAAAGAAAAATGGAGATGCAGGGGATCGAACCCTGTACCTCTCGCATGCAAAGCGAGCGCTCTACCATTTGAGCTACATCCCCAACTGACATGTTCATGTGCATAATTATTGTAGCTTCATAGTATTCAACGCCTTTTGAAAAAAAAAAGAAAAGCATAAGCAAATCAATCAAAAAGGAGGTATCCATATAAATTTTGAATTTTTTTATTTTTATAATAATAAGAAAAAATCCCAAAAAAATGATTATTGAATTTCAAAATTCTAAATGAATATTGGTTCCTATACTCGTAAAAAAAAAAAGATTACATTCGAAAAGTAAATGACAAAACATTTTTGCAGTGAATTTTTGATTTAGAATTTTGAAATTTAATAATCATTTTTAAGATTTTCCCTAATAATAATGATGATTCACGAAATTTTGCATGCACCGTGCCACGAGTATCCCTATTCTAGCTATACATTAATATTCTTGTCATTAATTTGATCCAAAAATATTTTGAACATGCCTTCAATAGAGGTATATTAAAGTATTTATTACTATTTTAAAATTTGTTAAGGAAAAAAATAGAAGCACGCATGCATAAGCTAAAATTGAAGTGTAATCCTATTAAGATTGCAATACTAAGGGCATCTTAGCATAAAAGAATGAGAATAAAAATTTATTAAATATTACTTCCCCTCGTCCTTTTTATAAGATTATGAAATTTGAATTACTCTAGCCCTTTTTATGAGATTCTAATTGAAATTGTCTCAACATTTAATGTGATTTTACCATTTTCACCCCAATTAATTTTACAAGTTGCATTAATTAAAAGGTTAGTAAACAAATTGTTCTCATCATTATTAATACAAATGATGAAAATTTCAAAATTTATATAAACAGTTAAATGGGGATGTAGCTCGATCCCCTGCATCTCCATTTTATTTTGTATCCATCCTTAATATTGTCGCTGGTGAGTTTCTCCTTCGTCACCGGAAAAGAGGGGAGATTGGTCCAGCCTGAAATTGTTGTTTTGGCGAGCGAATGGTTGAAGGTTCAAGCTCCTCCACCTCAGCCTCCTCAACCTCTCACTCCCTCCTTATCGTATAGTTGGCCGATTCTGCTCTCTTTCCCTTGGTTAATTTCATGAAACCAATCTAGAAGCAATGAGTCTGGAAGAATGAAGTTGCCTTCAACCATAGAACACTAAAACTTGTAAGGTTGCAGTGGTTAAAGTTTATTAACCCAAGGACGCAGCATGGTGTCCCACATGTTCATTGTTACATATAGGACTGCCCCCTTTAAATACAGCTTCTTCTTTTATTTTCCAGGTAACAAAAACACAGCTTCTTTTGTAGCGGCACAATTGCTCCAAAGCTCCTGTGGAACAAGTTCAAGAAGCAGCATTTCAATTAGGAGGATCTATAAAGCTTCTTAGAAATGCCCATTTAGAGAAATCAGTACAGCACTTACGGACTTTTTTAAGTGTTAACCCTGACACTTAACTTGTCACCTACCCGAAATTGTGGTACATTCAGGGGGTGTTTGGATATAACCAAATTATGGTTTGGAAAATAGCTTCTGGAGAATAGATTTTGGAGAGAATAGATTTTGTGAAAAGTAATTCTGAGAAGTGAGAGTGTTTGATAGTTGTTACCAGAAACACTTTTTACATATACAAATTACTAAAAAAAGCATAAGTTAATATGATAATTACAAAAAAAATATATTTTATGATATATTTTAATTTGAAAAAATAAAATTATTAATAATATATTTTTTATTAACATAATTAATAATACATAAGATAATATAATTAATAAATAATTAATATGTATATATATTTATAAGATATAAGATTAAATATATTTATAAAAAAAACAACAAGATACATATCCTATAGGCTCTCATACTCTCCTTTTTTTTTCAAAAGCAAAAATTTTTGCTTTTCCCAAAACCATGATTTTGACTCAAAACCATGGTTTTGGTTTTTTTTAAAAGTGTTTGGGTGATTTTTTTTCCAAACCATGGTTTGGGTTGGAACCCAAACACCCCTTTAGTCATATTAGAGCCACATGAATAAAACCTAATCCAACATAACATAATCCATTAATCCTACTAGTAGTACTAATCCGACAAGACATAATGCATCAGAACCTAGTCCAACACAGCTATCACATCTTTAATTCCAAATCAGCACCATAATTGTCACTGTCAAAAGTGGCCCAGTAGCCTTGTTGAGATATTTTTGCTTTTCCTTCAATGAAGCAATCTCATTTTCTTGTCTCTTCAGCAGCTCAACTGTGTGTTTTGGTGCGTGTCCATCCAGCTGGTTATAATATCCACAACCCCACCTTCCTGCATTGAACACAAGCAACAATGAATTTTGATTAATGGTTTATAACTTCAAATTAGGAATCTCTATGGAACAAACTAAATAAAAGTTAAAACGGTTAGTTTTAAGTGTAACCAGAGAAAGTTATGTGTCAAGAACTGTGAGTTGTAACGCACTTGACAAACATTCGAGACGACTTAATAGTGAGCCAATGCCCCCCGTAAAGACAGAGACAGTGAGTTAGAAGTAAATGATGCCATAACTTGTCCAAAATAAGAAAGAATAAGTAGACCGTCCAAAATAAGAAAGAATAAGCAGACGGCCAGTGCTGACAAATAATGTTTACCAAGAAAATTCTTCTAAATCTGACTGTAAACCTAAATTAAAACCATCTTAACAAACGAGAAACAACCAATCAAAAATATCACCCAGACTATGACAAATAAGCATCAAGCAAAGCACCAGCCGAATTCATTAACTCACTCTTGATTAAAGAATTGTAAAAATACTTTCAACCTACTGCAACCCATTACTCCAGAATGCCATAAACTGCATAATAACCTCAAAATGCATCAAGAGTTGCACCGAATCATGCATCAGAAACTCAACCACGGAAATGTTTTAAGCATATCATCAAATTGGGGCAACAGGTATCAGAATTGAAGTATATTATCAAATTGGGGCAACAAGTATCAGAATTGAACCTCACCTCTGTACAATATAACGTGGACACATTTGCTCATGCCACAAAATTCCCTCAGTTCTTTTTCCTTCAGAGAGAAAAAAAGACAGAGTTTGAACCACAGCAGAAACTATTCCCAAAAGAATCTTGTGTTTTTCTATAACTAAAGTGAAAATAAAGTGCGACTGAGGTGGACTAAATCAAAAGGTAAAGTATGATTCCAGCAGACTATAGCAGAAATAAAGGAATAAACAGCATAAACAATAACAGATAAAAAAAATTTAAAATCACATGTGAAAGTACCTTGTGAGATTGGTCACAAGAAAATCTTATCTTTTCTCATCAGTTATATGATAAATATTGGGCTCTACCTTGACGTCACCGCATAATTCAGGATAGCCTCAGGTTTTCAGACATTTTCAGTCATTACTCGGTAGAACCTTCAACGCTGCAATGGATCTCTGTTTCTTCTTCTATCTCTAGTAACCATCTTCTGCCCATATCTCTCAAATATGTCTGCCAAGTCAACTAACCCTACCTCTCTAAACTTTTTCCCAACCTCCTCAAACATAATGACGCCTTCCTCATTTGAATAGTAGTGCAAAAATTTATTATAATCAAACCTAGGTACCTCAAGCCCTCTGCTCATCACCCTCTCCACATACTTGGTTGCTTCCAATGACTTCCCAGCTTTCACTAATCCGCCCACAAATATGGTGTCAAAATTGATAAGTGGATCTGACCCCTTTCTTCCTCTCTTCCCCAAATGCCCCTGCAACAGCATTATATAGGTATGCATAGTTGGTTCGCAACCTCTTTTGATCATCTCCCTGAACACCTGAGTTGCTTCATTTGCCCTTCTCAACCTCAAAAGACCTTTCATCAAGCCATGGTAGACACTTATATCTGGTTCTTCAATCCCTTCCACAATCTTATAAGCCTCTCTAACTCTCCTTCTTGCTAAAAGCCCATACGTAAGAAATCCCATTGTTGAGTTATCAGCATGAATACCTCCCTGGCGCATTTCTTCGAACACTACCTGTGCTTGAGAGATCATTCCCTTCTTACACATCCATTTGATCACAAGCCTGTAAGTTGAGAGACCAAGTTCATCTATCCTCTTTACCCTCATTGTGTGAAAGAGCTTGATAGCCTCGTCATACTGATTCTTCTTGAAAAAGGTGTCCATCATTTTCTCAACCACTTCCACGTCAGGCTTGAACTCTTCATCCACCATCAAATTCCAGATTTTTGAAGCTTCAATGACATCACCCCCGTCACAGAAACCCCTAATCAAATACTTGTAAGTATCCCCATTGGGTTTAATCCATTCTTTTAACTTGAAAACAACAAATCTAGCCTCCACAACTAGCTTACGTCCACACATAGCTTCAACCACCTTATTCAGGGTCCCTAAATTGTACGCATAGCCATTGGAATTCATCAAGTGGAAGAGCTCCACGCACTTCTTTAGCTCTCTTGCAGCTCCTAAAACCATCAATGCAATCCGAAAAGTCTTGTCGTTCACCAAACGACGCCGTCCCATCTCTTGTAGAAGTTCCCAGAAAATCTCGATGTTCCTGGATTTCCCGATGACATCGAGCATCTTGTTGAAGGAGACGGAGGTGTGATCGAAAGACGGATATGTTTGGGTGTAATGAAAGAAGCGGTACACAGGTCGCCATGAATAAGGGAATCTGTTGCACACCTGAATGAAGAACTCGTGGGTGAGATCAAATTCGCAGGACCAGAGCTTGGAGTGGAGCCTGGGCTCCGGCGAGTCCTGCTGCTGGTAGAGAACGGTGCACACTCGGAGGAGTTGTTGGGGGTTCACCGGCGTAATGGGGTTGGCAAGGTGGGGTTTCGGCGAGGCGGTTGCCAGCGAGCGGAGGTGGTGGCGTACAAGATGATTGTTAAAGAAGGAGAGAGTTGTTCTTCTCCAAAGAAGCATTCTAGAGCTTTTACTTGATGCTGGACTTCAATAATAGAAGTGAGCGGGAGCGGAAGTGAAAGGGAAGTACAAATATCTCACTGGGAAAAAAAATACTCTTCCACAGAGAAGACCGAACATCGTGATTCGTGACCACCGGCACAATATTTTCGATGGCAACTTCTAATCTAACACGATTGTCCCAGAAATCGATTCAATCAAACTCAGAAATTAACAATCCAAAAATCAATTAAAAATCAACGAACATTTCCATATCCGTTATCGTCTTCTTGACAAATCCATTTCCCAATTCAAGTTCTAAAACACCTTAACACGATTTCAGACCAACTCATAATGTGAAGCTATGTCTTTCGCTAGCAGATGCAGCATTAACAAATAACAATAATTTGGATTGCCAAGTAAAGTAAGACATGATCGTTACCAGCCGGTTATCTCATATTGCGAAGCACAATATTGCTGGGAGCTCAGGGTGGGAGTGGAACACATAATTATTGTTATCATTTTTTGAATTGAAATATATAAAAAAATACTCGTAAATGTAAGAGCATGTATATTAAATTGCGAATATAGAAATAATAGAATCATTTTTTATTCGACCAAATATGTGTATCTAATGCAAGTAGAAAGAAACACTTTGAATAGGAATAATTCTCATAATTTACATGAAAAAAAAAAAAATCCCAACGAGATTGGTAGATGCTATGGACCTAACCGATTGAGCCTTGATATGTAGCTTACCCATTAATTCATACTATAAAATGGATATTATATCTAGAATTAGAAAAGTAATAATCAATTTTCATTTTAGATTACACGTTTTAAAAGATACTTTTCTAATATTATGAAGAGGTACATGGGTGAGCATCCAGTTTTTTTATATTAATTGAAATATTTTGTTTTGGTTAATCAAGTTTAACCAAAATTTATGAATGTAAAAGGTGATTTTAAATTAAAATCATAATAAAACATAATCATAATCATTAATTAATAATATTTTATTATTTAAGATGATTTATTGTAAGAGTAAAATACACTGATTAGTCTTCTATTTTAGCTCAATTACAAAAACCTCCTTTTTATTTTGAAAACGTATATAAACCTCTCTTACAGTTAAAACATATGTTACACAAACCTCCCTCATTTATTTAAGATTTTATTTTTATTCACCCAAACTGTTAGTTGACCATTAAGTTTGATTTCAAATTATTTTTTTGACCAAAATACCCCTTTTTAAATTAATAATTATTTAGACATTTATATTTTTCAAAAAATGTTTTTCTAAAATCAAAAAATAATTATCTTTAAAATTTCTAATATGGTATAAAAATTATTAATTTTGATCTAAATTATAAGATTTTATAATTTTTATATTTTACTTGAAATCATAAAATTAGTTAAATTTTTAATCAAATCTTTTATGTTTGCCTTAACTAAATGAAATTAATATAACCAAAAAAGTATAATTTAGGAATTTATTAGAATGAGGAGTAAAAGAATAAATAAATTTTATTTTGATATGAATTTCAGTTAAAAATAATATTTTTAGAATATTCCTAACGGTGTTAACTAATTGGACTAAACTGTATGTTTTTAAAATAAAAGGGAGGTCTGTGTAATTGATGCAAACTAGAAGGGTAGTCAGAATATTTTACTCTTAGTGTAATAATATTTATTATAAACATATTTATTAAATAAAGTATATTTAAACACATAGTTGAAGCTTGTATACACCCACATATATATTTATTATAACAATATTTATTAAATATAAATATATTTCAGTTTTTTGGTTTTAACTGATTTTTTTAAATAACCAAATTGAACACTAAAAACTGAATTGTTAAAAAATAAAAACCAAATATTTAATCAAAAATTGAAATAACAGGAAAAAAAACTAAAATTAAATTCAATTCAGTTTGGTTTTTAATCACGGCTTGGTTTCATTCACCCCTAGAGAGATGGGATTTATCATGTCATTCACTAAGTTGTTTGTTAGTAGACCTCTTATAAAGTATTCCTAAAATAGAATATAATGTTTGCCTCATCACACCATGTCAGGACCAAAAAAAATGAAGCTCATGTTCAAAGTGATATAAGACACATTGGGTAATATTTTCTCAAACCTAATAAGTGGTATCACACTCAAAATAATACTCCTTAAATCCAATAAATTATATCAAAATTTGGTTACATAAGTATGAAGAAGTAAACAATAAGCATATTAATTTGTCAACTAAAAAATGCATTACCACACTCTATTATGACCAAAAAAAGGAAGCTCATATCCAAAGTGATGTTAAACTCAACAAATGGTATCAGACTCAAAACAGTACTTTTTAAAATCTATTAAACATATTAATTTGTCAACTCAAAAGATGCATTAGCTTATTTGGACATTCACATAATATTAAGTTTAGCTTCTTTTTGTTGTTTCTGCCATCCATGCCCCTCTACCACCCTAATGAAACCACGTTTTAATGCCTTTTCCTTTGAATCAAATTGATAAGTGTGAAGTGCTAATAAAGAAGACCACAAACATATATATTATAACAATATTTATTAAATATAAATATATTTTGGGTTTTTGGTTTTAACTGAATTTTTTTTAAAATAACCAAACCGAACACTAAAACCCAAATAGTTAAAAAATAAAAAATGAAAATTTAACTAAAAACTAAAATAGACAAACAGAAAAACCAAAATTCAATTTGGTTCAGTTTGGTTTTAAATCACGACTTGGTTTTACTCACCCCTAGAGAGGTGAGATTTACCATGTTATTCACTAAGTTGTCCGCTAGTAGACTCCTCGTAAAGTATTCCTGAAATAGAATATAATGGTCACATCATCACATTATGCCAGGACAAAAAAATGAAGCTCATATTCAAATTGATATCATATATATTGGGTAATATTTTCTCAAGCTTACTAAGTGGTATCATACTCAAAATAATACCTCCTTAAATCCAATAAATTGTATCAAAATTAGGTCATATAAGAATGAAGAAATAAACAATAAGCATATTAATTTGTCAACCTCAAGAATGCATTACAACACTCTATTATGACCCAAAAAAAAAGGAAGCTCATATCCAAAATAGTGTTAAACACATGGGATGATATTCTCTCAAACCTAACAAATGGTATTGGACTCAAAATGGTACCTTTTAGCATCCAGTAAATATATTAATTTGTCAACTCAAATGACGCATTAGCTTATTTGGATATTCAAATAATATTAACTTCAGCTTATTTTTACCATCCACTGCTAGTTGTTCAGGAGACATGATCAGACTGGGACAAGCCCTCCCAGTCCCATCCCGATAAATAGGGATGGCATGGGAAATTTGTTCCGTGTCCCATCCTGTCCCATCAGGACCGAGATGGGTCTAGGAGGTCCCTTTTTTTAAAAAAAAATTTGTTTTGTAGTTGGACCTATTGCAATGGATTTTGGTTGTTTTTCTTCTTCTATTTTTAGTTCTTTAGGCTTGATCTTTTTGAAAGCATCTTTTTTTTTTCTTTTTTTTTTTCTTTGGGCTTGGCTCTCCCTTAAAGCAAAGTCCAAATAAATAATAATCAGTAACATAATAACTCCAAAATTCATTTTCACCATTCCAAAAATCATAAGGAACTATAAAAACTCTAAATAAATAATAATCATTCAACTACATATATCTTGAAAGCTACAAATATAAATATTTTGTATTACACATGCCTCAAACATTTTGTTTTTTTAACATTTAATAATTATATCATGATAAAAAAATAAAAAAATATTACTGTCGGGATGAGACGACCCCGTCCCGTGTCCTGTTCTGTCCCGTCCCGTCCGTGTCCCATTTTTTGCCCCGTCCTGGTTTGTCTCGTGCTGTCCCAATATGGTCGGGATCAGGATGGGCTTATTTGAATACCCCATATGCACTGCCCCTTTGCTACCCTAATAAAATCATGTTTTAACACTTTTCCCTTTGAATCAAATTGATATGTGTGAAGAACTAATGTAGACGAGCAAGGAAATGGAAAAGCATTGTGCATGTTTGTTGCAGTGTTTTCAAGGCTAAAAGTAACTTAACAATTTAATAAGTCGATTTGTAAACTTGAGAGCTGTTTGTCAAAGCTTTTGACCAATCTAACTTGTGGGCCAACACCTTAAGCACGATTGTAAAAGTATCTAAAACTTACTTATGACTTATATAAAAATAACTTTTTGAAATTAAAAGACATGTTTGCCCTTATATTTATATTATTCTTGCGCTTCTATCTGCAAATTCCTTATTTTTAATACCCTCTTAAGTAGAAGTAATTTTTAACATAACTTTTATAATATTTTTAATTTTTAATATTATCTTTCATTTTATATTTACATAAATTGTGTAGAGTATATTATCCAATTAATTATCTTAATATTATTTGGTTCAAGAATTTTCACATTATTATGAATTCTAATTTAAATATATTTTTATTTATTAAATATAACTTCTTTCAATTATAATAATTTAAAATCACTATATTTTGTAAATTCATATTTTTAATCGCTTTCTATTATTTGATAAAAGTCACATCCATTTTGATCATTCTACAAACTAAACTTACTTATCTAACTATAATCCAAATAATTTTTCTACTTTATAAACTAACTTTTATAAAAGTTTATCCAAACATAAATCACATTATCTAATCTTACTTTTCTAAAAGTCATATTGAAAATAAGTTACTTTTTCTATTGCTAATCCAAATGGACCCATTATTATTTTAGGGTGACATTTGAGTAATCATTACATCTTGTGAAAAATATAAATAATTTTGTAAATTAAAAAAATCAATGAAAAATTATTTTTTTAATATTTCTTAAAAGTAAGATATTTATTTTATATTAAATGATTACTTCAAACATTTTTTAGATTAGACTTATTTTCACTTTTTATGTACTTGTTATTATAAAATTTTATAATATAATAACTACTAAGATATATTATGGGGGTGTTTGGCTTTTTTGCCAAACACCCCCTTTTTTTTTTTAAACCAAGGTTTCTGGCAAAACCTTGGTTTTGGCCAACAAAACCTTGGTTTGGGACAAGCACGCGGGGTAGCTTCTGAGGGAGAATTATTGGCTCCAACGGTGCATTCAGCTCACGGTTTCGGAACAAGCACGTGGGGGTATCCATTCTACCCGTTCCAACTCTTCTCTCCCATTCATCGCCATTGCCCTCATAGCTAAGATCCGTTCAGCTCACTTGAAGATATCGAGCTGCTCTGTTTCTCACTGGAGAAGAATCGGAGGAAAAAAGCCACTCAT